TTCTTTCTTTTTTCTTTCTTTCTTTCTTTCTCTCTCTCTCTCTCTCTCTCTTTCTTTCCTCTTTTCTTTTCTTTCTTATCACCTTCTCTCTCTAATCATCTTCTCTCTCTCTCCAGCCAGCCATGTCTCTTTTTCTCAATAAAATGAAGAAGAAAAAACCCATCTGGAACCCTTACAGTGAACCAAATTAAAATTAAACCACGTGGCAAGAAAGCTCGTGGATTCTTGGAAGGGGTCCATATCCAAACCGCTGCCCCAGAGACAAAAATCAGTTTTTTTAAAAAAAAAACCCTGCCACACAAACACATCACACCGACCGTCCTACCTTATAGAGGGAATCTTTGTTTTGTTTCAGCCTGATGCCCCTCTCGTGTCTCAGCTGCCCCGTGGTCTTCATTCCTACCCAGGAGGATTTCTCACCCGGAGGCTTCAGTAAAGAGGTGACCGGATTATAGAAGGCAGGGGTAGACACAGGATACCACGTTCGCATGAATACGATGTCTGAAGAAAGAGAAAATGGTTGGGAATATATCTATATCTATATATCTGTTTTCTTAAGTTTTTGCGGGTACTTACATGTATGGTATTCAGCTTTGTTCGGGTATTTTCCCACGTCATTGTAGTTGTGCTTTTAAAGTTGTAGCAACGTTTCGGCAGAATCTCATCTGCCATCATCAGGCTTCTGTATTGTGTTCATCTATATATCATCTATCTATATATCTATACCTATATACTTAAATTGGTTTCCCTCTTTAACGGCTCACAGTTTGGGAGATGTCATGTCCCTGTTGGAGTCTGAATCCGAGGAGGAAGACAAACAGCTGACAGGAAGTGGAAGTGTGAAAGTGTGACAGTGGAGGAAACTGGGGAAGGGCACAGTCTGGCTGCTGACTCTCCGTCTTCCCAATTCCTCCAACCCCAGAACTGATCTTCCTCCTCCGGACCCCAATAAAGCCAGGTTTCACATGTGCAAAAGTGGAAAAGCCAACTTACCACTCATCAACAACTTGTCTTCGAAAGTTGCTCGGAAGGCCCCCTCGGGGGTCCTGAGGGCTTTCTTAATCTGTCCTCGGATGCCGCTCACCGTACGGATGGCTGCCCCCTCAAACCTAGCCACTTCCAGCACAGAGTTAAACATCCCCTGCATGGCATGGAAGAACATTTCTATTTTTGGTGCATCAGGATTAACAATCAAAGAGCCGGTGTTTCTTCTAACTCATCTTCCTCTGTTACTTATAGAATAGAGTAACAGAGTTGGAAGGGACCTTGGAGGTCTTCTAGTCCAACCCCCTGCCTAGGCAGGAAACCCTACATCACTTCAGACAAATGGTTATCCAACATCAATTTTTTTTAAACTTCCAATGTTGGAGCATTCACAACTTCTGGAGGCAAGTTGTTCCACTGGTTAATTGTTCTGACTGTCAGGAAAATCTCCTTAGTTCTAGGTTGCTTCTCTCCTTGATTAGTTTCCACCCATTGCTTCGTGTCCTGCCCTCAGGGGCTTTGGAGAGTAGCTTGACTCCCTCTTCTTTGGGGCAGCCCCTGAGATATTGGAACACTGCTATCATGTCTCCCCGGGTCCTTCTCTTTATTAAGCTAGACAGCAACCATTCTTTGTATGTTTTAGTCTCCAGTCCTCTAATCATCTTCATTGCTCTTGTCTGCACTCTTTCTAGAGTCTCAACATCTTTTTTACATCGTGGCAACCAAAACTGAATGCAGTATTCCAAGTGTGGCCTTACCAAGACATTATAAAGTTTATATTATATTAAGGCTATAAAGTTTATATTATATTATTATATTAAGAAGTGTGCTTTTTTTAAAAAAATCAACAGAGGTATCTTTGAGAGACATTTCGGCCACAAGTCAAAGCAAGCATGTCTCTAATAAACCACAAATGTACCCAAAGTTACGTTGGTCCTTTTATTTTATTGATCGATTGATTCGCCCATGGGCCATATCAAAGTGCAGAGATCCAGAAACCAATTATTACTGAAATTTGATAAAAGCAATCTTAAATGGAACTGGATAAAACGCAATTTAAAAATGGGATTGGAATAAAACGTGATTTAACATTTAGGTTGGTCTTTTTAAAATCCGTGGCATTAAGTACCACACCAAGATAAATTTTAACGTTGAGCTCCTACCCAGAGACTTCTAAGGTGGGTAGCCGTAATAAATTTAAACGAATAAAGGTGAAACAATACACGACTTACAAAGACTAAATGGCAACATTTTCTGCTCAAACACGTACCTTAATAAAAGCTGTATTCTTGAAAATTTTGAAAGGGAAACCGATCAACTTTAATTTCTTCACAATCCTGATGGACTTATCCAAGTCGAGCACAACGCCAGTGGCGGCTATCCGAAAATCAGCCTAAAATAAAACAACGAAAGTCTATTTATGACGTATGAAGTTCTTTTTATGAAAAGTCTAGGGCTTTTGATGTAGTTTGCTTTTCCTGCAACTCTGTGGAGATTCTCCGTCATCCAGGTCATAGTTGTCCCAAAGGTGCTTTTTTTTTTTTCAAGAGGCAAATGGACTTTCTTTATTTTTCCTTGAAGGGGTTTCGCTTCTCACCCAAGAAGCTTCTTCAGTTCTGACTGAATGGTGGAGGATGGAAGGATGTAGATTCCTTGCAGTCATCTGGTCGTTAGCGCTCCCTCTGAGAGTTGTTGAGGCCACTTGGAGCTTTATCTGTATAATATAATTGCTTCCATCCTCCACCATCCAGTCAGAGCTGAAGAAGCTTCTTGGAGGAGAAGCAAAATGTCTTCAAGGAAAAGAAAGTCCAGTTTCCTCTTGAAAAAAGCACCTTTGGGGCTTTCTCTGCATGGAAAGTCTTGAGGGGAAAAAATTACCTGTCAACTCATAAAACATTCCTATGCCTGTTTTCGAGTTGCCATAAACAAGGCTGGGGGGGGGGGGGGAATCTGAAGGAGCATTCCGGCAGTTTACAACCAGAAGTACATTCCACCCTTATCTACAAAGATTGTACCTAGGCTACCAAATCTTCTGTCCCCGAAAATCCTTCACTGGAGAACATGATTGATGACACCCAGCTCGTTAATGCTGGCACGCTGCCCCTAATAAATCTTTTGAAGTTTTTTGAAGCTTGACTTGAGGCTCATGATTTAATTAGGGCAATCTCCAGAACCCTGACATTACCTTTATAGGCATTAAAAAAAAAATCAGTTTGGACCAGGGCTTAGGAAAACAACTAGAATATCTTTAATTTAGTTTAATTTACTTTATTGTCATTGTACCTTGTACAACGAAATCAAACACCATCTTCAGTGCACATCATGACCATGAAAATAAACACAAACACACATCCTTCACCCTCCACCACACATAGAATCTAAAAACCCCGACACCGCACCAACACTGCACTATACAGTAGAATTCAAAAAAATTATTTTGAATGAAGAATTTTGAAGAATTCTTCTTCTCAATGTTACCTCCAGGAATGGAGCCATTTATTAGCACTTCCAACTGCCAACGTTGAAGCTGCAGTATTTGGGCTCCTTTTCAACAGCACCAATTCACAAATAAAGCGATTGTAAGGAAGCGGATCGGAAAACGGCCGTGCTAACGTACTTACCGTTGTACCACTCACGGACTGGACTGCCAAACACCCGGTCCCTTGTGGAGTTATGGGTCCTATAAAGAAAGTTGAATGAAACCATCAAACAATGACTTAATAGGGTGCCTTCGTTTGTTTCTTTGTTTGCGTGATGTTCATGCCTTCCCTTGAGAGACGATAAAAATAAATGCGTGCCAGAAGAACGGCTACAGCATTAAATGAAATCTAAGGTGAGCTCCAGTTCTGGTACCGTATTCTTGTACAGGGGAGTCCTTGATTTATAGCTGTTCATTTAGTGGCCGTCCAAAGTTACCACTGAAAAAAAGGGACTTACGGCCACTTTTCAGAGTTGCGACCTTCCCAGCATCCCGGCAATCAAAATTCAGGCGCTTGGCCACTGGCTCATACTTATGACCATTGGTGTTGTCCCAAGGTTGCCTGATTTCCCTCCTTGACCAGCAAAGTCAATGGGGAAGCCAGATTCACTTAACAGATGTAAAGTGACCCACTTAACAATGGTGGCAAGAAAGGTTGTTACAACGGGGCAAAACTCCCTTCACCAATGTCTCCATTGTGGTCGTAATGTGGACGACTGCCTGTGGTTTCCTTGGCAACCGTCTAGGCCAGTGTCTCTCAACTGTGATGGCTTTAAGACAGAAGTCCCCAAACTTGGCAACTTTAAGACTTGTGGACTTCAACTCCCAGAATTCTCCAGCCATATTCTCCAGCTGGCTGGAGAATTCTGGGAGTTGAAGTCCACAAGTCTTAAAGTTGCCAGGTTTGGAGACCTCTGCTTTAAGATGTGTGGACTCACCTCCCCTGCTGGCTGGGGAATTCTGGGAGTTGAAGTCCACGCCTCTTGAAGCTGCCACGGTTGAGAAACACTTGACCTAGAAGGTGGGGGCCACTGCTGCCTCATTTCTCCAAAAATGAGAGCTCTCCAACTTCTGAGCGCCTCAGCTCCAAATCCTAATCAGGTCTGACCTTCCTTCGTTTTTTAAAGTCACCCAGCCAAGCATGAAGGAAGACTAAGTTTGAAAATGAAGGAGGAGAAAAAAGATGAATGGCCCAGTTCATCAACCACCTGATCTGAGGAACGAACCTGTAATCAAGATTTACAAACTCTTCACAGTGTAGCGAATCGAAGCATCCTTCTTTCTCCAAGATTGCTTCTTATGTGTATCTTTATGGACTCGATATGATTCTTTGCCTTTCATGCAGCTCATGAACTTGCATTACAGATATTTCAACCGTTGGTTAAAATACATCTTTAATGTATTTGAACAACAGTGATACCTCATATTTGGGGATGCCATCTGCTTGTTATTCTCATCTAAATATCTATTAGCAAGGTGTCCAAACCATTGTCCTTCTGTCACTAGGGTGAGGTCTGAATCGTGTGTCTTTTGCAAACAAACAGCAGTTGTTGCGTTAACCAACACTGAAAGCATCACTATGTTTGGCAAAGTCCTTTTTCAAACTAATCAATAACAGTGAATTGTTATTACTACTAATACAATAAAACAGCTTGGCAAGTGGTTTCTTGCTGTATAAATAGGATCAAAACCATGTGAAGTACGAGTATCGCTTTGTAAATCCTTAGTAAGGCCACCCCTGGAATCCTGCATCCAGTTTTGGTCACCACATTATGAAAAAAGATGTTGAGACTTTGGAAAGAGTGCAGAGAAGAGCAACTAAGATGATTAAAGAGACAAAAACCTATGAAGAATGATTGCAGGAAATGGGTATGGCCAGTCTACAGAAAAGAAGGGGACATGATAGTAGTCTTCTGGTATTTGAGGGGCTGCCACAAAGAGGAGGGGGTCAACTTATTTTCCAAAGGAAAAAGTATAAGAAATAATGGATGGAAACTAACCAAGGAGAGAAGCAATCTGAAATTAAGAAGAAACTTCCTAACAGTGAGGACAATTAACCAGTAGAACAGCTGGCCTCCAGAAGTTGTGGGTGCTTCATCAGTGGAGGCCTTTAAGAAGAGACTGGACAGTTACTTGTGTGGAATGGTATAGGGCCTCCTGCCTGAGCAGGGGGTTGGACTAGAAGACCTCTGAGGTCTCTTCCACCCGTTATCCTGTTAAAACTGGATTTTTTTTCAACAGGTCTTGGGACACTGGAGATGTTCTGAGCTGTTCCCTTCCGTAGTCTGGAATTTAATGAATGGAGAGCTTATTATTTCTAGCACTGCATTTTGGTTTGTGTTTATCCCTCTTTTAAACTTCTCCAAGTTCCTTCGTTTGGAGCAATATCTAAGCCCTGCAAATATATATAAACAAACAAGCCTTCTTTATTAAGAATTTCTTGCAAATGGCAATGCGGAATTTTCATTTTATCTGACAGAACTCGTTAGAAGTTAGAATCGGGGCAACCCCTTGGCCTCCAGAAACCGTAGGTGCTCTTATCACTGGAGGTTTTTAAGAAGGGGCTGGGCAGCCCCTTCCCTGAAACAGTATAGGGTCCCCTGTTTGAGCAGGGGGTTAGAGTAGAGGACCTCCGAGGTCCCTCCCAGCTCTCTTCTGATTGGAAGCCCTACGCAGTGCCTCCCTCCCAAAGGGGAAAAGTTGCGACATTAGCAGCTCTTACCCCAGAATGTTACTCCGCAGTGCATGTGTTGTGGCGTATACTTAAGCAGCCTGTGACGTCCGTTGTGGTCTTCGATGTAATACGCAGGAATTGTCTGGAAGCGCCTCCAGCCCAGAGAAAGAATCACAGGATCCCGGGTTTTGAGGATCTTCTTGTGCCAGCGATGCTTCTTCAACCGCATCTATTAAAAAAAAAAGCCCAAAAAACATGGAACTATCTCATCTCAGAAGCCCTTTCAACAATCCCTACGTCCCCTTTGTTGAGAACAAAGTCTTCAGTTGCATAATATCAAACTATGGAAGAGACAGAGTGGGACTTGATTTAAATTACTGTGTGTGTGTGTGAGATTGAGCTTTCAAAATCCCCAGGGAATAGAAATAACTCTTGGCAGCAACTTACCAATAAGGCATAGAAGATCAAGGAGAAACAAAAATGCACATATAGGAAACATATGTATGTATGTATCTAGTATGTATGTACGGTATGTAAGATCGGTATGCAAGTATGTATACACACCTTCAGAGAGAGCTACGTTCAGGAGCATCTGAGAATCTCTACCTGTCACGGAAGGGGGTGCAATGGCCCATGGGTTAAGGATGCTGAGTTTGTCAGATGGAAAGCTGACAGCTCAGGTTCGAGACCTGAGCTTCGTGTGACGGGGTGAGCACCCATTCCTTGCCTCAGCTCCTGCCCAGGTAGTGGTTCAAAAGCATGCAAGTGTGAGTAGATAAATAAGTACCACTTCGGTGGGAAGGCACCGTGTATAGTCATGCTGGCCACATGACCGCAATAGCACTTAGACTTCTAATACCGCTTCAATAGTGCTTTACAGCCCCCTCTAAGCAGTTTCCGGAGTCAGCCTTATGACCCCAACAATCTGGGTCCTCATTTGACCCACCTCGGAAGGATGGAAGGTTGAGTCAACCAGGAAGGAAGGAAGGAAGGAAGGAGGGAGGGAGGGAGGGAGGGAGGGAGGGAGGGAGGGAGGAAGGAAGGAAGGAAGGAAGGAATAGGACTTAGACTTACATACTACTTCACAGCCCTCTCTAAGCAGTTTACAGAATCAGCCTCTTGCCCCCAACAATCTGGGTCCTCATTTTACCCACCTCGGAAGGATGGAAGGCTGAGTCAACCTTGAGCCCGTCAGGATTGAACTCCTGACAGTTGGCAGAATTGGCCTGAGATACTGCAGTCTCACTATTACATCACCAGGTCCTTCCTTCCTTCCTTCCTTCCTTCCTTCCTTCCTTCCTTCCTTCCTTCCTTCCTT